GCTTCTTTAAGATGTTTGCTGTATCATTTCTTTTTCTCTCTCTGTCTTCAGTACGTTCGGTTGATGAAAGAGATAAAGATTCCAGCCTATGATTTGGGTGTCGATAAGAGTGATGTGGAACCGAAACCTTCGGGCGCTGGACTAGGTTTGTCTCAATTGTCCCCAGCCAAATCCACGGCCCCGCGGAGTGTTGCATCGGAACGGCCCGAGGAGCAGGAGGAGTACGAGACATTTAGCAATCAACCTCAGCCAACAACAACAACAACAACAACAACCATGACAACGACGACGACTAGTGGTCCAGAAGAAGAGGAAGAAGATATTTGTTGAAAACAAATTGATGAATGCATTCTCTATCCGTTTATTCTCCCCTATACTTATTACCATTCATTTATTTCACCATTTCCTCTTGGAGGATTCAACCAATCCGCATCACCTATGCTTATTCATGACAGTCATACTACACTGTGGCTGTGTCAATAGCTCTGAACAGTCTGTCTCCTTCCTCCTGCTAATTTAACGAGCGGCCCCGCTTGCGGTATCGTTTATTTTTTGAATCAAACGCTCTCATTCATGTTCGCGTTCACATTCCAACTCTTCAAAACCTTTCTCGTGCTGTCATTGATGAACATGGGTTCAGTCTAATTATTCAAACGGTGTTTCCTGACTTTATTCTTTCCTTCTAAATGATAATAATTTGAGATTTTGACTTTAATGTTGCTTTCCGGCTCTGTTGGATGTGGTGGTCTTCACCCCTGAGCGGAATCCCTGATGTTAAGCGGGCTCAGTCGCTCGACGCATGTTTCTGCAGCACCGAATGAAATCTTAAAAATTGGTTCTCTTAGCTCGGGTGAAATGAATTCCATTCCGCCTGTTCGCCGAGCTTGGCAATTTGTTTGCAAATGTTTCATCATCAGCCGAGGTGATATCATCAGTGCTTCGCAAGCACAGGCGAAATGGAACTGAACGAAATCCACTGAAATTCGCTCAATTTTACAACATTCGGTAGGGTTAAAATCTGATTCACTCATTATTCTATGAATTGGTGAAGTGAAATCCAGAGGGACCAAATAACACGGTGTTCGACCAGCAATTTATCTCACCCTTCGCTTAGTACTGTCCAGGGTACGCTGCAGCACAAGATAAAACACGAATATTTTTATCCGTTTAAATCTTGCTACTCATTAGTAGCATGACGATTTCGGTGGGATATTTCCCCTTGCTCAGTAATGCACGCGGTTCACGATACAATAATGGACGTACAGCGAGATGTAAACCACTCTTGTTAATGGGTATTGAGTAAAGCAGACAAAATATCATGTTATAAGATTTAAATAACCCAATGGTCCTGCTTTGGGTTTTTCGGTGGAAATGTCACAAAAACTGTTTTCCTGTCACGAAACAAATACGAGTGAGAATGAAGCTACTCGAATTCCATGTCAGTGGATTAGATATCTGACATCGCGGGAAGGTTATGGGAAAAATAGTGAATGTCTGCATGTGACAAGGTGTCGGGCCTGTAATGCGCAGAATGTCGATAAGAAACTCTTTAGTGGTGGGCTCTCTCGTGAGGAGTAACTATCGATAGAATTCTTTAAAGCGTAAACTAATGGTTTGCGCAATGCGGTACATCAGGATAAACGCGAGGTAGCAGATCCGCAGGTTGTCTATAACACGCTTGTGTGATGAACAGCAGTCGGGGGGAAATCCCCTTGGTCACGAGGGTCTACTGTTCAGTGATGGGAGCCGTCAATCAACCCCCGAGACTTGTGGCGGCGAACCACAGAAAGCCCCTTTAGGTTGCGTGTAGTATTGAACCGGATGATGGCAAAGCTAACTGGCACCAAAGTTGGGAGGCGATGACGGGGCTTGAACCTCGGACCACGGTACGAAGCACGCCGGTGATAGCGACCAAACCATAGCACCACCATCACCCGCGAGTAAAATCGCCGTGGTTCCAAATCTTTGCTGTTTCCTTGTTGATGAAGTGTCCCAACTCATGTATAAGTGGCACCGGTTTTGAGGACGAGGACAAGAGTCTCATGTGAGTCAGAGAAGTTTCATATTTTACAACTATATTTGTGCCGTTTCGTGCGCCGGTTTTGGTTGCCATCATGGATAACAGAGTAGAAGATTAGAATGGTGGGAGCAGAATAAGAAAGTTACCGAGTTTCCTGGTTAGGGTTTTCACACCCTTTTAGCTTGACCGCCCTTGACATTTTTCATCCTCTGCTTGTCTCGGTCGAACTGTTGCAGCATACACCTGACCTTCCGGATATCGCGACGGCGTCACAGATGTCTGAAGTCGGCAAATGACAATCCTGTCTTCCGTATACGTCCACCGGGTGAGAGCAAATAGCAAAATTTGTCTACTTCCTCTGCTATTTCTCCAGTTTACAATTCGAAGGTGCAAAACGCATGTCGAACGTGGTGACACAAGCACATAAACTACCCAGAACATTTTACAGCTAATTCGGATCTTCACTTAGCAGCACAGTGTCGTCCACATAATGCAGTGCAGACAATTTGCATCTGGAAACAAATCGAACCCGCTAGCCTCGCAATATTTTGGAAACTAATCTGATCGGACATGTTCATTTTGTACTCCGGTATGTTGTTGGTCATTCACTCAGTTCTGTTCGATCTTGCGCACCGAACTTTTTAATTAATACAGAGTTTCACACATTTATCATCGAATAACATTTTGCAATCTATTCAATCTGTTACCTCTGGCCAGTTCAAATATGGCAAACTCGTGGACGGAAAACCAACCAAACAAATGATTTGACTAATACCCTAACATCGACTCATCGGATTAATCAGTGGTATGATTGAAGACTGTACTATCTGTTTTACGCGTAGTCAGTTGGCTCGATGCCAGCACGATTTTGATCAGCAGGATCGCGGGTGCGTGAGAAACGGACGAGATTGACGAGTGATGTGTGTGTGTGCGAATAACTGGATGACCAATTGAGATTAACTCCACCCCAACCCCGCACCTCGGGCCGGACGATTTTTGCCCCGTGTGATACAATCGAGTGCAGGTTCTGACTGAATTTATCAGTTATTTTTGAATCTATTGTTTTACTGTTTATCATTTCCTTCTTTCCCATCAGATGAAGTGTGATTTGGGGTTGAAGTGTGAACATTTGTCTTTGCAAAAGTCGACGCAAATACCAGCAGTGAAAATACCTATTCCAGGGATTTTGAATTTAAATAACCAATTTGTGATGTATCGGATATTTATCTTGTCTTGACTGCCTATTTTATTCGCGTCTCAGCCACCCGACCACCCCCACCAGCATTGACATGTAACCCCGGTCGATTCTAACATTACATGATACGAACTGCTTGTAATGTGGTGTGCATGGCCACTATGAATCGGCCTACCTGGACCATTATCTTTTGTACACAAACATACAGCGCCGTGAAGAATCAATAGTTTGTTTTGGGTTCTTCTTTGTGAAGCGAACTGGTCTCGGTCTTTTTAAGGGAAAAGAAATAGTCTAGCAGCTGTGTTGGAGTCGCTAATTGTTGATCGTATTGCTTCACGATCAGAGTTTGTAAAAAAACAGATGACGATATTGTATGCGAATACCCGTACCCCTAAGCCTCCTGTTTTAGAGCAATCCTTTTCACATATTATTTCATGCGAAGTCAGAAAGAAATTTGGATTTTTCCGGCCCCAGCTTGAGCTCACAATTAACTTCGAAACGACTTTTGTTGATGATTTTGAAAAACGGGCTTTGCTCTCAGAGATTGATGCCTGATCAATCAGTCGCCTGACAATTTTCTGGACAACGGTTTACACTTTTTAAGGTGAACATATCATCGTCGTTCTTCATACATTTGTCCCAGCCTTGAGAAAAAAGGCGTCATATTCAAGAACCTGATTGACGGGCTCAAGTGGATCACACGGTGAGCTCACCCTGCTGGAATATATACCGTGTGCTGATGAGGCCGACTGCACTGCATTCTCAGTTCATCCAAATAATTCATCTTTATTACCTCATATGTGTTCCGAAAAGCTTGAGCAGTTGACCATGAATAATTATTTATAACTAATAATCTGCATAATTGACATTTTTTTCCCTAGTGACATCAATCATTGATTGATTGAGGGTTTTCATTTAAGTGCGCTTGTTCAAGGGCGAACAATCATGGTGTCAATGCCATAACAAATGATAACAATCGATACAACAGGGGCAGAGGGATTGGGATATAGAACAGGATGAAAAGAAGGCGAAACTATTAAAAAGGAACATTATAGATAACTGGGATAACAATTATTATTGTTTCATTGTACACATTTGGAATTTTTCCGTGTGGTAATTTATCGTTTTTTTATAATGAGTAGTATATGAAAAACTGGATAAAATTTCGGGGAAGCATGTCACTGGTTTCGCACTAGATGATCCGGAAGTTGTTGATTGTCTACGATTAATGGAAAACAAAATCTCAATGCGTTTGTTTGGGTTCAAAGAAAGCTTAACACCATGGGATCATTCAGGAATGGAAGGGTTGCTGCTGAATGCACCACGAACTATTATGTCATCGGCATATATTAATATGAAAACAACTGAGGGTGACTGGCAAGTTTTGTATGTATAAAAAGAGAACAGAAAAGGGGATAAAATGGCATCCTGCATTTCACCTTGGTTTACAGTGACAATGGAAGACATATCATTGAGACTAGTGAATTGTCGTCAGTCGGTAAAATAGTCATGTATACAATTCTCAATATGTTGCGGAAGATTATGTTGCTGTAAGTTTGTCAATAGGATTTTTCTGTCAAAAAAGTTAAACTCGTTTGTGTGATCCAAAAAACAAACATGAACAATTTTGTGTTCCTGTTCTTTAGAACAGAGAGAAGACAAATACTGCGAGATGTTAACATTTCTTTTAATCTCTTCAGTCGCTACAACGTAAAACAATCTGGTATTTATAGAA